TTTCTAAGATAATTAGGTAACTTAAAACATTCACTGAAATGCCATGTACCAAGCTGGTACATGGCATATCTTGCATGTGGAGCTCTTGAAAACTGAACTGGCTGTGAAAATCGTGGGTTAAGAAAATATCGACTTGGGTGGCTTAACCTTTCTTTGTTTGTCTTTATTACTAACTTCTGCATAAGTAAAGCTATAGTGGATTGAGGTGTGTAGAGTGTGTTTGGGCTTTGTAGATCTCTTCGCACTGTACATTTGCATTAAACTGAAGTTAAATTGTATTTCTCTGCAGCCTCTTTGCGTTTCATCACAAAAATAAAATTTGAGGAAAATACATCTTGAAATTGTCATTGTACTTTTAGTGATTGGAGTAGATTGCAAATCATATATGAAATGTAATATGATGTGAATCGTTCAAAATGCTTATTTAGAATTAGTATCTTGGAAGGAATCACAAAGGTACTGCCCCAGTGATCGCTTTTGATTTTTGAGTGTTGTGTATGGAAAAATATGTAAAGTTTGACTCTAGTATTTGTGATTTATTAGTATTTGTTGCTCAGTCATGACCCAAAGTCTTATTTTAAAATAGGAAAAATAGGAAATGAAGTGTTTACTGGAAATAAAGTGTAAACTGTTTTTCTCATCATAATTATGATCATGTAAAAAAAACATGATCATAAGATTTTAGTTTTAATAGTACTCATTTCTAAACTTTTAGAAAATTTGAATTTGTTTACTTTCGTATGTGACCGTTAACATATATTGCCTCTGAAAGAGACATTATAAATAAATATACACATGCAATTTGTCAGAAACCACAATCATAGCATACAGTGCATATTCCTAGTGAGGAAATGCTCCAAAAATCCACAAAGGGGACCTATAGTGAAGAAACATAAAAAGACCAGAGTTGCAGGTGATGTATTGGAAATATCCACATCATAGACAATATGACAAACGCAATTGCAACTTACCTATGAAATTTCCTTGTACTCAAATCAAGTGTGAAGTTTTAATGTTGTGATCTGAGATTAAACATTTAATTCCTGTAGCTGTTCTAATTAAAAATATTATTCAAAATGGTTGAAAATCACTTAATATTAAATACATTTTCATATTAAACCTTTGAACATTAAATGTGTTTTTTATGTTTAAGTACACGTTCCATGCATCTATTGGCACAGTTTTTTAAAATTTGTAAATAGAATTGTGCAGCAGGTTAAAGGTGAAGAGGACGTTTTGGAGAGGGACACTGACCTTCATTCAGAGGACCAGTAGTGGTGGTTGTGCTTGTTGATCAACAAGTGCTTCAGTTTTGGATCTTTCCTGTAGCGTTCAAGCAGCAACTCTTTTTCTCTTCGCTCCTTCTCCTTACGTATTTTCTTCTCCTCCTTTTTCTTGACATTTTCTTCTGCCCAGGTGAACAGAACAAGTGACCCTTTTCTTTTGCTCTTTGGCTCTTCCTCGACATTCACATTGTGCTGAGTTTCATTCTTGGGACCTTCAGGATAGCTTACACAGAGCAGCTTCATCATGTGCTCATCCATTTCCTTCTTTTTCTGAGAGGCGACATCCAAATGGCCTTCTATGACCTTGGAGTCTCCCATTTCACCAGGATTATTTTTCTCTTCCTCACATCCCTGGACCTCCACCACTTCACTCGCCCACACTTCCTCCAGCACCTCGCTGTCACTCTCCAACCAAGCAACCATCTGTCTCGGTTTCATTTCAGCCTCCAGCGGTCGGGGGCGTTCAGACTTGAGTAAGTCACAGGCCCGGATGATCTTCCCTGTGTACTCCACATACTCGTTCTCCTCATCCTCTATGTCAATGAGCATGAGTTGTGGAGGCGGCTCAAACAGGGAAGAAGTGGATGGCTGAGGCTTCACCAGGCTGGGAGGACACACTTGAGTTGGAGAACAATGCAGATCAACAACTTCATCAGGTGAAGGAGTGGGGCTCGGAGGAACCACCAGTCGTTTGGGAGGATGCACTTGGGAGTGTCGGAGAGAAAAGGGTTCATCATGTGCTGGAGTGGGACGTGGAGGAACAGCCAACGGTTTGGGAGGATCCACTTGAAGAGGAGAACATGGCAGGGACACTTCCTCGGGTGCAGGAGCTGGCTTTTGAGGACGCATGGGTGGTTTGGTCACTGGCGGCAGGGGCTTGAAGCGAGCGGCTGTTAGAGTGAGATGTTCAGAGACACTTGGAATCATTGGAAGTTCTCCCTCTATTGGCTTCAAGAAGGAAGATCTCACTAGAGGACTGACTAGAGTTTGCTGAGGTTTGACCTCCACAAGAAGTGGAGTTGGCTCAGTGGCCTTTTGTTCCTTCAGTTTTCTCTTCTTCTTTTTCTTTTCTCCAGCCTCTCTATGCTCACTTCCTCCCTCCACAAACTTTTCTAGACTCTGCATCTCTCTGAATTTGGCAGACTCTCTTTTTTCTGCTGCACGCATCCTCTCTTTTATCTTATCAAGTGTCTCTCTTTCTTTTTCAGCCTTGTCTTTATGACTTCCTCCCTCATTCATCTCTCTCTCCTTCTTCACCTTTCTCTTCTCCTGTCTTTCCTCCTCTTTCTCTCTATACTGTAAAAAAAAGATTTTTTTAAGGTTGTAAATAAACTATTGCGATACAGACAATAACGTTACTATTTCAGTCTTTCTATTTCAAAATTTCACATTTAACTCATTGTGTTAAGTTGCAGTTTCATTGTAATTAATTGTGAAATTTACTAGCAATATCTGAGGGAAAATTGTTTCTACACAATTTTTTTCTTTGTAAGCTGGTACCTTACGGCATCTTTTTCTGCACTTCCTGTCATTAGCAGTGAAGGCCTTACTCTCACCCGCCTTCGTCAACAGTGCCTCTGGAAGTTTCTGTAGTGCTGCCCATTGCGCTGCACACTGCTGTGCCCTCAGAGATGTCTCCCTTCTGCGCAAGAAGTGAGCAAAATGCTCAAAAAGTTGTCTAAATAGACTGCTGAGCAGTGCCATTGTGGACACTGAATGCTGCAAGTGAATTCAGTATTTGTCGACAATCTTTGCAGAAAGTCACGAAACAAGTATCTTTCGATCTTTTCACTCCTAACACACCAACAGAAGACAAGAGTCAGAGCAGCAGTTTAGAGCTGCCAGAACGGAATCTCCATTATGATGTCACAACAGTGTGCTGAACCCTGAGAACTCAGAACTATGTGAGCAGCTCCTGTAGCAAACACATTCACTCTAGTGGCACCAATATACTGACTGTTTTCAAACAAGTTTCCCAAAATCTCCTCCTGCCGCTGAATATTAAAATGATATGGTAAGGTTAAATTTTAAGAAATAATTACAATGTAGAACAAGGGTACTTACAGACCAGATCGGACAGAAATTAAACATTTAAATAGACAATCTAACACATTTTACTATGCAGTAAACTTACAAATGAATAAAAACAACCCAGTTATTATACTTTTATTTAGAATATATTAGGGGAAGTTGTGGCCTAATGGTTAGAGAGTCGGACTCGTAACCCAAAGGTTGTGGGTTCGAGTATCATACCGGCAGGGATTGTAGGTGGGGGGAGTGAATGTACAGCGCTCTCTCCCACCTTCAATACCACGACTGAGGTGCCCTTGAGCAAGGCACCGAACCCCGCAGCATAAATGGCTGCCCACTGCTCCTGCTGTATGTGTGCACTTAGGATGGGTTAAATGCAGAGCACTAATTCCTAGTATGGGTAACCATACTTGGCCACATGTCATGTCACTTTTTTTTTTTTATTGTTTCTTTATTAAAAGTTCCTCTGTCCACAAGGTATTGTGCGCCCTTTCTATATCATGAAAGACATCTTTTTTAAATCCAAATTTACAAATGACTCTGATATGGTGTAAACATAAAAGAGCAGAAATAATATTGAAATAATTGAGATATATCTAAAATTATAATGATATTTTATTTATTTATATTAATTTATTTGTTATTATTTACATTTTTACATAGTGAATGTTACAGTTAGACTGGTCTTGTTTGGTTTTTAGAGGGGTTTTGGCACTAGCTGGAAGACCAACTGGACCAGCTGAAGACCAGTTTAAACCACAGTGACTGGTTTAAAATATATATACATTTTAAACACTGCCATTCAAAAGTCTAGAGTCAGTAAGAATTTGTCATGTTTTTGAAAGATGTCTCTTATGCTCACCAAGGCTTAATTTATTTAATCAAAAATACAGTAGAAACAGAAATATTGTGAAATATTACAATTTTAAATATGTGTATAAAAGTGTATATAAATAAGTGTTTTTATACATGCGCGGTGAGACTGCGCATGCTCACTGTGCGCGACTGGCATAAAGTTGGCTTGACGTTGGACGTACGATTTTCGCAAATTTAGGGGCCGTCTGTAAAGTGACATACGACGTTTCTAACGTCAATAGCATTTGAAGAGAATGACTTACAGTCCACAGCCAACTGTAAATTGTTCAGGTAGGTTTATAAATATACCTTTTAAATTTTTTGATATTTATTAAAATAAACTGTCAAAACAATCATATGTAAAAAAAAAAAAATTTCACCACTAGATGGACTCAAACACAAAATATGCTGTAATTTACAGCTAAATAGCATTTGAGGGGAATGACTTACCTACTGTAAAGTGTTCATGTAGTGTCATCTATAATGCACACCTTTTATATTTTTGATATTTATTCAAATAAACTGTCAAATCATATGCAAACATTGACGGTTTTATGACGGTAAGGCATTCTCCTTAATGCTATTGAACTTTAAATAATGGCATATTTTGTGTTTGAGCCCATTCCTTAGTGAAATACATTGCAATATTTACACATAATTTGACAGTTTATTTTAATTCATATCAAAAATCTAAAAGGTGTGCATTATAGATGACACCTACAGAAAGACTTTACAGTTGGTTGTGTGACTGTAAGTCAATCTCTTCAAATGCTATTTAAGTTAGAAACGTATATGCCAATGTCGTATGTAACTTTAGAGACGGTCCCTAAATGTGCGAATATCGCACGTCCAACGTCAAGCCAACTTTATGGCAGTGTGTGGTAAACCAGGGAATGTGTAGCTAGCTTGAGGAGTTATCAGCTTTAATATCCTCGACCTTCGGGTGCCTGGTTTAGGCAAGGAGCCTTTTCTACCCAATTCTTACTTGTAATTGAAAATGTCCGTGTTCTCGGAGCCTGCTTTGGAGAAGAAATTATCAGAACTGAGTAACTCCCAGCAGAGCGTGCAGACCCTTTCACTGTGGCTCATCCACCACAGAAAACACTCCAAAACCATCGTCAAAGTCTGGTATAACGAGCTGAAGAAAGGTAAGGAGAGATACATTTTACCGCAAACACCTAGAATAGCATTACAATGCGAGGTTATGTTATGTTTTTGTCGTTTTGAAATAAAAATAAACCGCACATGTAGCACACAAGCTAATCATAGGTTCCCCTGTAAGCTAGCAGTTTAGCTAATCTGCATGTTTTGATTCCTTTGCAATTTCTGCAGTTTACTTTGCAGGTTATTACTGAGACAACCCCCCAGTTCTTGACTGATTTTCTCTATTAATAAACAATAATAGTCTGTAAGACAATTGCAGATATTGAGACATTCAGCAACATGTGTTAGGTCAGTGCTTGAGCAACTCAGATTAGTTTCACTACTGCATATAAGATTTTGGTGAATCCCAGAAGAAATATTCTATATAATATCTACATTAGATATGTTATGATCTATTTTCCACTGACCTTGGCAGCCATTTTGAAGCATCTACTCATCTGTTTCCCTACTAACGTTAGATTCAGGTTTTTTTTTTGTTGATTAAGTGAAATTTCCAGTAAAAATGGCAAGACACAATTATTGTACATGTACTCAGACCCCTTCACTTTTCAGCATGGCACATGTGGTCTATGTTGGGATGAGAACAGACCGGTCTGATCTAACACAGGGTGTGTTTTAAAAAAAAGTGTGATTGATCTTAAACAACCTAGTTTAGGATCAACTAGATCCCCCTCTTTGAATGGCAAGTACTGTGTCTTTCCCAAACACACGCTTGCTTTGTTTGAACACCCATTCTGATGGCTATAGAAATCTTTATTAGTTCCATAACTGCAGATTTTGTCTGTTATAAATATTCAGTTGAAACCGCAAAAAGAAAAAAAGTTTTAAAGTTTTGGGTGGCCAAAATCATTGACTGAAATAGTTGTTTAATTAGCGCTTCTCTGAAAAGGCGTTTTACGTATGCCACTCTCTATTTCATGCACACTTGGATAACATGGGGACACTTTAATGTGACCAAAATTATGCTGGAATAGCAATATGTACAATTTGTTTGGCTCGTTGCTGAAGAACTTTACTACAACTGGTTTAATTTATTACTTGACAACAGGACACCCTGAATAGTGTACCTGAGTTACCCAATTACCTACATTGAATTAAACTTTTTTTTTTTTTTAAACAATTTGTTTTTTTGCTTTTGTTTTGTTAAGGAATTAATTTTAATGCATCACGATTAACCAGTTAGAATCCAATTTCACAGTGGCTTTAGGTTTCATTGCTTGGTCATTTCCTATTAAAATTTTATGTTGCCACAGATTTTTGTATCTATTTGTGTATAGAGATATCCAGAAATCGCATAGGAACAGTTTATAAAGCTTTCCGTTTGTTATTATGACAGGTTAGCACAGTCCTTTTTTATCTTCTCACAGACATGATAAACGTTCACTTAGTCTGATCCTGCATAACGACTGGTGTCACTGAAGGCTTATTATAATGTTGCACCTTTGTGATAATGACACATAATGTGCTGTAGGAGTCTAGATTCTGTGATCAGCTCTGTTTTATTTATCTCCAACAGAGTGCAAGTAAACATCAGGTTAAGGTGTACATTAAACTTATTGATTGTAGGTCTCAATCTAGCTTTGAATGTACAGTATAAAGATTAATTTTGTGTTTGGAAAACTGGTGTAAGTTTACTCTAGTAATTGACATGTGTTTGGCTTGATGCTCTGTGATTACATGGCAATGCTGTTTACAGTTGACCTCAGTCAGAGTAGATGCAATACTTGATTGACAGAAATGAATGCACGTTATTAAGCCGCTGTGTAGTTTGTTGTCGATGGAGAAGTGCATTTTAATCTGCTCTTTAGAGATGGCTCCATTTTTCTATATGAAAATGAATGATCATTGTTTTCTTAGGAGTTTCTCAGTGTTGGGTCATTTTTATTTAGAACTAGTCAGAGTTTAGGACAACAATGAGGGCTTTGGATTACTGTGTGGGATAGTAGTGCTAAAATTAATTCATAGGATTGCATGGCATCTCCCAGTGATAACCGTGCATTCTTGTTTTTATGGTTTAACCTAGTTGCTTGGGAATGAGCTCCCTTTAGGATAATGGTATAATATTACAGATTCAGAATAACATGATCAAGTGTTCAAGTTATTACATGGCCTTCATTTCTGAATACTGTGTATTTGCTTGGAGATGGGATTGGATAATGGGTTTGTTGCTTGGGTGGTGGTACTAAAAACAGAGCTGTCTTTTGATAATCTCTCCTGAGATCTCATTGTCTTAATAGTGAAGGTGTAGTTTTTATAGCAGGTTTGTTGTGTTCAGGAGGAATTCACAACAATAATTTCTTGCTCAAAACCCTACATGCCGAGCATGGTTGACCTGTATTGACACCCTGACAACATTGTTTTTGTTGCTAGAACATATTTGAATTGTTGTTCAGTTGCCTCAAATAGATTTTTCAACATTCAAAACCAATGGTATAAATGATTTAATTGGTTTAATTAAACATCACATGCCTGTTCTTTCAGATTGCAAATATTTAAAGAATTATTCCTCCCCAAACAGACAGCCTATTAAATTAAGAAATGTTTTCTTCTCTTTCTCTCTGTGCAGCCCAAGTGTCCCGTAAGCTGACCTTCCTGTATCTTGCAAATGATGTCATACAGAATAGCAAGAGGAAAGGACCAGAGTTCACACAAGATTTTTCCCCAGTTATTGTTGATGCTTTTAAACATGTCTCCAGGTGAGTTAGGCCAGTATATTTGGGCTGTTTAGCTCCCATTTTAATCGGAATTTAAAGAACCCCCCCCCCCCAAAATATGGAAATATTTCTTAATTGAGTTTTAATCGTGCCCTATTAACATAATAAATATACACCCTAGCACAGTATTTTATTTTAACCTTCAAGGTCATCCCAGGATGATACAAGTTTTTAATACTAGGAGAAGTTCCTCCAACTTCCTTCCTTTTAACCCTGTGAGAAAACTTTTTTTTTTAAATTCAGTTGACTCTTTTGAAGAGATTTTTAACAGAGTTAAGCCAAATACAGTTTTAGAGTTCTTAGCGAAAATAAATTGTAAAAACCTGATATAATTTAGCCATACATTTTTCTCGCTATGAAAATAGCCACAGAAGCTGGCATGGCGTTAAACACAAACAAACCCTCAAGGGAGTTTCTGTTTATTGAATACTTCAAATATATATTTTTTCTTTGGCAAGCGTAATAGGGTCTTAACTTGAATATTTGCATCTTGTAGTTGTGTTGCTATTATTCTTCCTGTGCTAAAATTATATTTACCATGTTTTATCTACTCTGTCCAGTGAAGGAGACGAGAGCTGTAAGAAACAGTTAGGTAGAGTTTTGTCCATCTGGCAGGAAAGAGCCGTCTATGAGAATGACATACTGGACAAACTCTCTGATGTCCTGCGTAAGTAAACCACCACAAAGTCACACTGATTTCAAAGGTTATTGCGACTGCAGTATAGTTGCTCAGAGAGACTCAGTAGTTTGTTTTGATAAGTGTGATGTAAAGTCTTTATTAAAAGTGAGAATGCCTTAGTATGACATGTAGAATGTCTCCTCATGACTTACAGAGGTAGAAAAGAAGGCCAAGAAAAGGCCTTATGAAGAGATTAAGGTGAACGATGATGACTTTGCCTCCCAAAGCTCCCCTGCTGAACCTCCACAGGTATGAAAGAACAACCTTACGTAATGCATATTTACCTATAAACTGACCTCAAGTCAGTTTAATCTTCCTTGTCATGACATGTTTTGTGTGTCTCAGACTAGGGATGCAGCGGTTAACCGGTTTCGCGGTTAACCGTGCTTTAAAACGTCACGGTTAATTAATCATAAAGGTTCTGCTAAACCAAGTGTTTCTGTTACACGGAACGTAACTGTTGCAGCTTGCACAAAACGAAAACAAAGTTACACTAGCGGTGCACCAGCTTAAAATGACGTGCTTATCAGAGGCACGGAGGCTACTACATGCATTAGATTAACTGTGACAGAGGAACCAAACAGCAAAGCTTTATTTCCACCAGAGAAATGCCTGTCGATAGTGTGGGATCATTTTGGGTAAACCAAGAATGACCAGGGTGTCATTTAAATATTGCTGTAAAAAACTGTGGTAACACTTTCTATGAAGCCTGTAATTATAATACATTATAAGGGTATTCTTAAGGCATTATAATGAATGCATAATGCATTATAAAAAAAAACTATATGTTATATCAACTCATGAATAATCATAACAATAATATAATACATCATAATACTTACATATTTGAGGTTATAAGTTTAAGAGTATGATTATTTATAACACACAATGAACACCATATTAAATCTACTTCATTTACAGAATAATGGACTGTATCATATCTTGACATTGTTTATTTAAGATCTGCACAGTATCTTATTACAGCTTGTGAGTGGTTAGTTGAGTGTTATTTGAGTGTTTCCTGTGGAGCTAATGTTAATTAATTGATGTGAGCTTTATACTCCAACTGAAAAAAAGGCAATGTTTTATATGGTTACATTTTATTTTGATGGTCCCCTTAATCAATCGACTATAAGCAACTTTGCAACTACATGCCAACTAACTCTCATTAGAGTATTAGTATGCTCAAGAATGGTAGAATCTAGTATGGTAGAATAAGTTGAC